TAGTTGCTGCAGCCTATTCCTACGATTTGCTCCCCTCTTCAGCCCTGGCAAAGAGGTCATTTCTGATACCGGTGTGTCAGCGATGTAACGTCGACTCAGACACCAGATTTAAAACTCAAGTATTTTTAGATTAGATTTACCTGGCGCTGATAGTCTTAATCAGCATTGTGTGAACTCGTTTGGGTTAGGGTTTACTTGATTACTTTTGCAGGAGTAAAACTTTTGAATGCACATTTTTTACCTCCTGTTTCGTCTAGTTTCTGGCCCGGGAGAGTGTGGTGGTGATGGTCAGTCGCCAAGAGCGTAAGCCGCCGTTGCCGTCTGAGCAACGCTACTTTTTTCAGGGTAATAGACTGGACGCTTCAGTAACTCAGTTTCGGAAAGTGACAAGATGGGCCAACCAGGCCAGAGCTAGCTGGTTAGCATGCTAATTTAAGTAGCGTTTGAAATCGAGGCAAAACAAAAGTCAACTTTGGCTTTGCTTTCCACCGCTGGAGACAGCTCTTAAAGCCACAGTCTACCCACCAATCAAGACACCATTATACCACTGGTATCATGTTTGTGCTCAAACTGGACTTTCAAGAATTCACTCTGGACTTTTAAAGTGACCATGTCTTGTCTATGGGTATACTGAAGATAATAATGATGGCACTCAGCACAACTCCAAACACACCTCCAAGAGCCCTAAGATGAGAGCCAATCACTACTTTTAGTCATTTGAAGCTCACACTGATAATGGCAGAGAGTGTTGGTATTTATGGTCTGGGGGTCAGGATGTGACTGCAGGGGAAGATGAAAGACAAGAGATGAAAGCTGATCTTAGATCTGGTGCTTCCTGTCACAGTGATTTGACTAAAACACAGAACAAGAAATTCCCACAAACAAGTGACATCTCCAAAGTGGGCGTCCATCTCAGCTGCAAGACATGAACGCAAGGTTTCCAAGAAAAAAAACAGCCCGTCACATTCATATCTCATCAGTATATCTGCAGAGATACTGGTAGTCATGGAGATGGTCAGTCAACATGTAATCACAATGCGTTACAAAAATAGCAACTTCGGCACTCTGAGTGTTGGTTAAGAGACAGAGGGAGTGAGGAACTCGGACGGTAAAATGAACTACATGGATGGGTTTTGGAGAATCTGATCCCCGTCCAGCTCACACTCGCCTCACTGACCACACATAAGCCACGGTGGTGAGGCTGGGCGGGGGAATGTTGCTCCATGTTTCAGGAATTTGAGCTTTACAGATGCTTTGCTTGAAAACCTCCTTACACACATTTGCACTGGGAATAAATCTTGAGCTATTTTTGGAGAACGGCATTTTCTAATGCATGTACTAATATTGCAAAGACCTCAAACCTAATTTCTTAATCAGTTTTTTACTCTAAGTGATGGAATCATTTATGAACACAAAGTTAGGAAAATACTGATTATATCGCCTGATTACTGTATTTATGTTTTTGTCTGAGCGCCTCTGTCTGGTTTGAAGTGGGTGTGGATCTTTTGGTAAAGGGTGATGTCAGCTATTTCCACGCACCAATCAGAATTTAACAATATAACAACCAAAAACAGGCTGTGTCTGAAGTCACTCCATATTTACTATCTAGTGCACTATGGGTGAATGAAGGAGAGCTTTATGACACAGAATCAGATGACAGTTGCTACTTTGTTATTTAAGAGCCACTGTCAATCAAACAAAATCAAACCACACCCACACAGGTTCACATAGCTGTGATTGTTAAATCGAATGCTTAATATTTGAAATAGACTTAACATGTGACACTTTAAACTATTGCACATTCCTCCATCCATATTACATATTGTACATATTTGTAGTATTTTTATTGTAAATCATTTATTGAAAAAATGTATATTTATCTACCTGACTTGCAATACTTGCTTTTGCTTTATCTATCTTTACATGCTGTATATTTTTTCTTACTATGTTTATTGTTAGGCACCAAAACACCAAAACAGATTCCTCGTATGTGAAAACCTATACTTGTCAATATAGCTGATTCTGATTTCATGTGTAAAATCTTACATTTCATCATGTCAAATATCTGAAAATCACATGTGCCTGCTTAATGTAAAGTTTTCACTTCCACTTGTAAAATGATTCTCTACATGATGTAAAGTCACGTGAGAAATTCACACATCACAATTTTACTTTCATTTATGACCAAACAAAGAACGGCATTCCCATCAGCCTCAGGTATACTTTTTGTTTAGAGTAACATGGTGAATTAGGATGGTGAACATTACTGCTGATCCTCAGCAGGTTAGCATGGTCATCATGAGTATGTACAGTGTCAAAGAGGCACTAGAGAGGCTGTAGACACTTGTTGATTAAGACACACAGCTTTTGTGTGGTAGTACATCTGGTTTTTATTTATGAATGTGTGTGGAGATGGTGGAATGTGGGAGTTAGTGTGAGAAATCCTTTTCTTTTTGCACCTTTCTGTCTTTCCTTGCCATTTCTTTGGTTTATTGTGTCCTTGTGAAAATTGAAAATATACAACTAGAAAACAGCTTTTCCATCCAGAGAGGTTGGTAGTATTCTTGGTGACTGTCTCAGCCCACCACTGACATAACGTCAACATCACATTGCTTGTTTATTGCAGCACATACTACAGAACATGTGGCATTTACAGCCAACATAATCACAGATCACTATAAAATAATGGGTGGACACCCATTAGTTTGCATGGCATGACAGGGCACAGTTTGACAGTCTAGCATCTATAAAACATTGATTAGATTTCTGACTGTGCTTCATGCTGAGGTGGTAGACTGTTCCAGACGCTTTGACAGTGAAAACTCCTCTGCTGTTTCTCAGCAACAGACTCAGTGGTTTGTTTCTGTGTCTCATATCCACGGTAACAAGCACCGAGTGTTAAATGTAGCAAGGTTTGCATTGATATGAATAAATGGTGTGCGATTCTCAATGGACAAGTCATTCAACAAGGTTACTGAGCAAATAACTAAATTCTCAAATTGAGTTTTCCCCCCAAATGATGATGTTGTTGCTTGGTTTGGCAGCAAATTACATTCACCATCTGAGAGAGAGCTGCAGCACTGACACAGTCACAATGTAACACCTTACATTCAGGTTCTACTTTAGACTTTGCAGATTGTAGGTGAAAGGAAAACAAAGAACAATACTCCAATACTGCCAAGTGAATTTGTTGAAGAATCCTAGAAAAACATATTCTCACATCATAGCCTAATTAGTTTTACATGTTATAATAAAGCAGTGATCTCCCATGATTTTAAAAACTACGCATTATGGCATTATGACATTATGGCATAATGGCTGTTTTGGGGCTCAGTATAAATGTGTAAACTGTTAAAGCTTTAAGAAGAAAAGATGTAAAAAATACTCAACAACTCTTGCATAAAAATTTCAAATAAAGATTCAAGTAAATATTCTGGCAAAAAGTATATTTCTTGAGCATGTAAGTTAATTCTTGACCTCGGTAACAGCAATAATCTAAACTCAAAGTCCACTTACAAGCTTTTTTTGGGGGGGCTTCCAATCACAATCTCATGGTTTTCATAAGTGAACAGAATTGGCTCAGCTGTCATGTAAATTAACTATGGAACTTTAGTTGGGAAGACAGGGGTGGGATTGTATCTTTTTTTTATTGTATTTTTAATTTTAAAATACAACAATTTTTTAAAAAGATATAAATGTATTCCAAATCTCTTAACTGCATGGATACTAAATATTGAGTGCAACTATACAAATGACTGTAACTGTAACTGTTTTGCTGTTCATATTTAGGCTTTTTTTTTCACTTTGAATAACTCTGATGATGTAACAATGGGTGATGATTGGATGGATCAGACAATGGCTGGATGTAAAGACATTTTACCAGGTGATCAAATGACTGGAGTACCATCTTTGTTCACTTTAATTGCATCTCAGGGGACAATGCTTTTACCCACAGCTGTCTCCTGGAGACCAGAGGATGTGCTTCTCTGCTCACCCAAAAGAATGTGAGGAAGATTATTCATCCCTTCACCCTTAGTTCAGAAGAAACCTTTTAACTCTTTTATAATTGTGACTGTATTCCCCATATGGCCAGTTACTTTGACAGGTTCAGATAAGAGATTATTTTAATTGTCCAGAATCATACTGATGAAAAGCCAGTAATATATGTGCTTTGTATTATTTTGGAATTATTAAAAGCAGACCATACAATTAAGGTAAAAGACTTTGCATTTTGGTGTCATATTATGCATTGCATACATCACAGAAAAATAACATAACTCCAAATGTAGGGAGAAAAAAATACCAGTGTCATAATTCAAAAGAAAAGGAATATTATATAAATACTGCAACTACATGGCTTCCCACCCTGAGTCCGGTTCTGTTGGAGGTTTCTTCCTGTTAAAAGGGAGTTTTTCCTCCTTGCTGTTGCCAAGTGCTGCTCATTGTGGGAACTGTTGGGTTTCTCTATTATATTATATTTTATATATATATGGTTTATATATATATACTGTATATATATATATATATATAGTCTGAAAGTTTTGACAAAATATTTGTGTAGTAGAGGAGACAAAATATTTGGGTTTTGCACTTTAGTTATCTTCCTCAAATAGTTTTTTGTTAGGTTTTATGTTGAGGTGTAAATTTCCAATGTTTAAAGAAATGGGACTCATTCTCCTCTGCTACTAACTTTACTTTACAAGTGTTAGCCTTTTTGTGTATGCTCTGGGTTCTTTCTACAGTCTGTTTTAGCAGAAAAAAAAGCTGCTGTTGTAATGGCGACACTTCCGTCAACAGAGTCCTGTTGCTAAGTGAGAGACTTGTCACCTCATTCAGAGGCCAGAGGATTTTTTTATTTTTTTTATCGTACTTTATTTTTAACCCTAGTTTACAAGTGTTGATTGTGTATGCACTAGTTTCTCCCTGTTCTGTCTCAGCAAAAGAAAATGCAGTTGTCATGGCGACACTTCCGTAAACAGAGTCCTGTTGCTAAGTGAGAGACTACCGCTTCATTCAGAGGACGGAGGATATCAAGTAACAGTAACAGTTGTTCAGTTTTCCAGTTTAGTAGTTCATTTGCTACAATGACGGAACAGAGAGACACTGGTGAAAGTAAAGTTGGAAAATGTCTGTTGCATAACTGGACAGAAGAGGTGAGTGTGGTTAGTGCGATGTAAAACCTCGCTACAGTTAGCTAGCAGTCAGACCTCACTCAGGACTGGGTATAAAGCGTGGGCTAACGTTAAACATACAAAACTAACTATAACAGTAATTTATAACTTTGTATTAGTTGTATTAGTGGCTAACACTACAACACCAGTTTTTTTCAACAGTAGAAAGTTGAAGAGACATTTGCTAACTTCATATACCTAGCGTTATAGATAGATAGATAGATAGATAGATAGATAGATAGATAGATAGATAGATAGATAGATGGATAGATAGATTTGGCTGAGGTGTTATAGCCTGATGGCAGTGGTGATCCCTGAGCACATTTTAAGTTATCGTGTGAAGACCTTTTTCAAAGCAGACATCTTGACATGTCACTGCAGGACAAGCACTGGTGTACAATAACTGATACTATTAGAAATGATTGCTTTCTATGAGGGTGAGCTGGTTCCAGGGTCCATGCAGGCTCTCTGGCGTGGCTGACTGGGACACTTAATGGAACTGAGCCATCATTAATTGCTTTTCCTGCTATGACAAGTCGAAATGTAGACCATTTTCAAAGCAGACAGTTACTTGTCATGGTACAAAAAGCGCAGGTGTGCAGGTGCCAGCATGCAGTGCACTGATGCCTCCAATTCACTCATGACTGATGTTACGAGTTACACCTGTGTTTGACAAGTCAGATAGCGTGTAAAAGGTCTAATGCTACAGTTGTGATTTTTTTTGTTTTGTTTTTTTCTTTTTATTTCAACCATAGTCACCTACTGTATTTTGTTAGCTGTTTCCAAGAAGGATGATTCAATATGTAGGGTCACATAGAGTACACTTAGTGGCATACCAATAACCACAGTTCCACTATCACTCTTTCTTTTGTGTGTTCATCCTTGCACCAGACTATTGCTCTTACTATCATAGAGTTGCACATGTAGTTTGTAGTTTGTTTTAGTTGTCTGTCATATAGTGATTCTGTGCGTACTTTCATTTTTCCTTTTTTCTTGTTATGTCATAATGGCTGTGAGACGTCTTTGTCTGCTGCATTACCTTGACAACTCAGTTATAGTGTCAGGCTACTAAAGGTGACACATGCTCATAAAAGGTATTCAGTCTACCTATCATTAGGTACATATACACAGAATATCTAAAACACAGATGTCCTAAATATGCAGAAAAGTTCCCGGATAGCATACCAGATACCAGATACCACCTCTTGAGATTTAAAAAAACAAAAACAAAACAAAGACAAAGAAAAGCGGGAAATCTTTGCATTCGAGAGGCTGTTACAAGCATTTTTTGTTATTTTCCTTACAAAAAACAAACAAAATGACAAATCTTTTCAGCTCTATTCTTAAATAAAACACACAAACCCAGAAAAAATGTGGGTATGTGTATAAAACTACAATAAAATGAATTATAAATACCATGAAACACAAACAAGATGTTATGCATTAAATCAAAGCAAGAGACAGTGTCTTTAATTGAAGCCTACAACTGAACACTGTAGGCTTAACAAAGACAGTGTTATTTGCATTGCTTTAGACTGTAACATGTTTGTATCTTTTCATGTAAACACTGCCTGTCCATTTATCCAGAGGGCTGTTGCGGCTCTCGACAACGAGGAGACAAAGACACAAATCCAGAGACATGGGCACAGAGGGATTCTCACAATGGATCAGGAGTCTAAAATGGAGACTGTCACCACACTGAAAGCAGCTTATGTCCTTCCAAAGGGTCCAGGGGTGAGGCTTAAGGGTATGTGTCTTTGTCAATCACCGCCCTCAGAGAAAAACTATTTCATAACCCCTGTATGGACTAGAAATGTATTTCATAAGAGCTGAAAAGACTTTATTCAAGTGGAGGTGTCTGCACAGCATTCACATACACACTGAAGCTATTGTGACCTTTTTTATATTTGGTTTCTGTTTTGTATTTTACCATTCAATAAATCTTTTTCAGATGATTTGCTATGCATGCTCAGATCATCTCTTCTTTTATATTTCCATGGTTAAGGCATCAGAGGCGAGCTTTTGGAAAAACATATCGCCCAGATGATAAGGTAAATCAACTATGAAACAAGTCTTTTTGATGCTAAATAAATTACTGTTGAAAGTGGTTTGTTTATGGAAACGGAGAACACTGCCTGACCATGTCTTGAGGGGAACATAGCGGAGCAAAGTGATGTAATATTTATACGTCTGGGTTTGTTTTACCGTTCAATCACAGCTGTAATACCTTTTAAATCAGATTTTATGATGTTATTTTACGTGGAGGCCAGTCATCCTAATGGGGTTTATAGAGTCTATCCCCACAGATGTGGTTATTAACATCCCACACAAGTTAACTGCTCATAAAGAATACAAACCATCATGTCTTCGATGAAATCTGTTTCTCCAGTAGTAGACAGTGTCTCATCACTCAGCCTCAAGCCATACACTAAATTTCCTGGACTTTATAAGTACACACCAACGCCGCTTGATTCATGCCGGGTTCTTTTCCAGCAAAGGACTGGGTTTTTCTAGGCTGATCGGTTGTAATGTTAAACACAATGCACATTTTGAACAAATGAATTACCAGAGTCAGCCAGATGAGAGGTTTGTAGAGTGGAAGGGTTTTGTTTTTCATGGTTTAAATATCACATCAGTCTCTTTTGACGGACACAATTTTACTCCAATGCACATGACGACCAGTGAATGATATTAAGTGTAAGGATGATTTGTTTCTTACACACACAGTGGTTCACCGGCACAATTGTTTGCACTGATTATACCTGGTCTCAGGTCTGCGTGTGTACAGATTGTGTATGACGAGTGCTATCTGCCTGTCTCTATTGATAGTGTTCTTGCACCTGTTGTATGTTGACAATTTATATCTTTACCATTTCTGTTGAAACATGACAGGTCACTTGTTTTCTCTCGTGTTATGCTGCATTCAGGCAAGAATGGGAACAGAAAACATTTCATTATATGTTTATTTACCTAATCATTCATCATATCAAACACTTATCATACGTAAATATACTGGACCATGAAGAGGGAACCAGACCTGGGCTACTGATTGGTTCTGAAGCGCTCAGACAAATACTGATAGAGGCGGATATCTTCTTGTTTTCACAGTGACAAGGTTCACGCTCAACTGAACCCACTGACGCCCAAAACTGACTTCTGCTCCACCACCCACAGGGATTTCTGTGTTGAGGGATTTGTGCCTCTTACCCCTGGCACAACACAGGTATGTGTATGTGTATGTGCTGTCTACAGTATACTGTATACTCTATGTGTGTAACTAAGCATGTTCATCAATACTGATGACATCAACCCTCCTCTGTCGAATCAAAAAAAATGTTGGTTAATGTGGTTGGTTAAGTGCCTATAATTCTACTTCAGTCCTGTTCTGTTTCAAATTAGTAGCCTATTTTAAATGGGGATAAAATCTGACACCAAAAGACTAAAATAGACTTTAGTTGCAGTGTGAGCAGCCATTCTTTCCACTTGGCTCGAATCCATATTATAATGTTGCCATCACTGATTGTTGATTCTATATGTCTGTTAGTTTCCTTAATGTCAACACTGTGTTAAGTTCTGAGATGAACAGTTGTTTTTTTCCACAGACCTTTCTGATGGCAAAAGCAGAGGACTAACTAACAACACTGAGATTGTAGTTGTGTCAGTAACAATACCAGAGGTCTGTTTCACAAAGCAACTTCCGCTTACCCTGGTTCTATTTGAGCTACAAGGCTTCATTAAGCTTGACATTTGTTACCCTGGATAAGGAAACTGGTAATCAACTGGTTCAGTCAACTGTGGGTCGTTTTTAAGTAAAAAGACCCAATAGTTGCTGGTTCCAGCTTTTTAAATGTGGTGATTAGCTTTTCTTTCAGACCCATGTGTTCTTCTTGTCACATTTTCAGGCTCATGATTATAAAACTGACCAGGCGGTTACATTTTGGAGTGAAAACTACCAGCTGGTGCAGGTTTGTTATATTGTTCCTTTTTTTGGACAGTGTTTGCTGTTGTCATTATGTTTTTGTTTTTGTTACTACTTAAAAACATGTTAAATAGTTTTTCTTCCTTTTAAGTTATTTATTCCATGGCATAAAGTTATTTTGTCTCTGCTGCTGTACTGTACTGTTTGTGTCTTATTATCTGAGTCTGCTGGAGATTTTTTGTATTCAAGGCTCTTTGCCCTTGATTCCCTCTCTGCTCTGTTATTACTTAGTGCCATATTCCTCAGTCCTTCACTCACCGACTGAACACACAGCATGTACAGTAAGATTCAGGAGCTGATTGATCATGGTTTAACATTATTCTTGTGTTGTTTTGTGGCACAGGGTGTGACGCCCGTACAGACCCTGAAAGCACCTTTCAGGAAGTCTGCGCTGTTCAGCACACCTATCAGTGAGCGGCTGGATGAAATTGAGCCCCCACTCGACGACTGACATAGTACGTCAGAGCATCACGTTACAACACTTCATTACCAGTTTATAATAAAGTGGTAATCCACTTTAAAGGTTATTGTTATCCTCAATGATGGTGACACATCTGAAGATTAGCTGCCATTGTCACATGATGTTCTGTAGTGGAGAACAGCAAAGTCATTGGAAAGGCATCATTTATGTATAAATGTTTATTAAAAATGGGACGACTGTTTAGCGAGAAAGTTACATGCCTGGAAAAACACATAAATCAATAGGTCAAACCACAGCCAGCAGATTACTGACATATGGACTTTAAACCTGCAAAACAAGCGAGCTCTTACCTCAATCAAACGCACCAACAGGTTTCTGTTGAACTGATTTGCTGAGAAACTTTTGCCTTCCAAAGAATCACCATGTGTTGTGTTTGTAAGCACTGTGTGTAATTCTGGTCAACATTCACCCAAAGCACAGTGACACAGTACAGATTGCATCTAGTAAACCATGACTAAAAGGTTGCAGAGATGTAGCTGCACTGCTCCTCCTTCTCTCTTCTAGTCTTGTTGCTGTGTTTTTTTTTTTAATGTTCAATGTTTAATGTCCTGTTTGCCTTCCTCTGTCGTCTTCATCTCCTTTTTCTTCTCATCATTATGTTGCTGAAGTTTAAATCTCTGTAGGTGTTATATGTGCTTTTTCTGTTCCGCCAAACTTACAGTTTGCTGCTGCTACTTGTGGATCTATTAACCACATCATATCCAGTACATATATACACATAAACATAATAATGTACCATAAATGCTTTTAACATTTAGAAACAGATTGGATTAGTAGAGTAGAAAGACTGGAATTATTTGTATACAACATTGCTGAACTAGAAATGTAGTATTTATTGTTTCTTTCTTGATAAGAAAAAGTTTTTACGTACACTTTATACACAGTCTCTGATAAGAACCTGTCACTATTAGTGTCTCAACATCAGCAGACAGATGCAGCAGCTGTTCTTAAGCTCAAACGTATTCATGCATCACTAGTTTAAAACAGGTCGCGTCATGCAACCTATGTTTACACATACTGACTTCTAGGTGTAACTGTTGTGCAGCTGACTGGACCAACCTACACAAACAGATCCCATGACCAGCTTAGAGTGAGTGAAAGAAGGACAGCAGTGATAACCTTAATGAAATGCGCAGCAATAATTAAATGTTATAGCATGACTGGAATCTCATAGAAACTGGTAATATTTGCATTTAAGAACTACGAACTTAGATTTCTCAGAATACCACAACATGGCCCATAAGTAGTGTAACTTCTCCCATTACTTTAAACTGCATTGATTCTAAAAGACAGCCACCTTTACAACAGACTGGCCCTGCAACAGAGGTTTAGTAGATATTCCTAAAATGTTCCTTAAAGTGATAGTTTTGGTTATTTGACATGGAGGCTGTATGAGGTATCAATCCATAGTCAGTGTATTACCTGCAGTAGATTCAGGTCTGTGCCCGCTCAGTTTGAAGAAGCAGGCAGGAGCACTGGTGTAGAAGCTGAGTGGTGTACTACTGGTGACGGGGACTTAAAATTGCCCACCTAAAAACCCAATATAAGTGCACACTTCACTTTGAATATTTTCACTGCTTTATCTTGCCGTCAAACAGAAATACGTTTTCTGCTGAGCTGAGCTTCCATATTCCTACGCATAAGTACACTTGCTCTGCTCACCGTATTACTATGCAGATCAGCTGTTTTAGTTGTAAAGGGCAGATTGATGGCAAGATAAAGCAGTGGAAATATTCAAAATATAGTGTACACTTCTACTAATAGTTTTTTTAGGTGGTAAAAAAATAATTTTGTTTCTGCTGTACCTGTCCACAGCAGCACATCACTCAGCTTCTGTGCTCTCCTGCCTGCTTCTCCAAACTGGGAGGGTGCAGACCTCTACTACTGGAGATAATACACTGACTATTGAATAGATAAGTACCTTACACAACCCTATGTCAGAAAACTCGAAATTTCACTTTAAGCTTTAATGGTGCAACCTGACTAACGGAATGAGCAGTCTGAACCGTCATCTCGTGTTGAAAGTTTGATTTTGTGACAGCAAATGTACTCTGGGTAGCTGCACTATTGTTGCCTGTGCCTGCTTTGTTTACAGGCTCCATTCATCTTTTTTTTTTTAACCATTTCACTGTTGCCTTTTGCAACCTCTAATTATTGCAATCAAACAATGCAACAAAAAGGCACACTTACCTCCTACGCCAGGCAAATACCTCTCTATTGTCCTTGAACAAAATAACAAGAAAAGCTATCGGGACTCAGAGAATTGCACAGAGAGTGCGTCTCCACCTTTACAAAGACGTGTTTTCACAGGCCCACAGTATGCAGATGTGAAACACAATACATTGTTGAGAATCACACAGTGTATGCTACAGATTCACATATATGTTCTGTCAATCAGAGGACAATTCCAGGCGCCGCTGATCCTCTCTGAGCTTTCAGCAGGGATTAGTAGGCGGTAGCTATGGCGACAAGTAATTTTAGCATATATTTATGCAGCTTTTCTCTCCAAACATTTCATTATCTCATGGGATGATACAGGAAAACCAATTTGCCTCTGAAATACAGGGCTTTTGAGCAAATTTGTACTTAACATTTCAAGTGAAATGCAATACAGCAATTTTCATTTTAGTTCTGTTTCTTTCATTTCAGTTGTGTCTCTCTGTGTGTGTCTGTGTCATGTTTGAGAGTTTTTTTTTGGGGGGGGGGTAAAAAATCAGCAAGATTTTAAGGGCATCTGATTTTCTGAAAAATAATAAACCCTGTGATTGTTGAAAATCCAGGATTAACTACATTTACAGCTGAATTCAGTTTTTTCCACAATCCTCAAGACTCTTCTAATCATCTGCAGAAAAAATAAATGAATAAAATAAAATCTGTTGTAACTCTATTTCCTAATCCAAACAAAGATGGCGGGCAGACAAATGTTCATCCTTAGTTTGTACTTCATAAATCAAAATCAAAATGTTAAATTATATTTGTCAATATTAATGTTACTGTTCATTGTTTGATATTTTCATACACAATCATGCATTTATATTTTTCTACTGCTGCTCTTCAAAGAAACATTTAATGTATGTCTTCCATCTTTGTTTGGATTGGAATATTAAGATATAGAACAGAGTTGCAACTTCTCAAACTAGTCAAAATATTTTCTTTATTGAGCGGCAGATGGTTTTAAGAATCTTCTGGAAATACCTTCAGAACTGCGTCTTGTGACCTTGTTTTTGCCAGAGACTTATCTTTCAGGAGAAGTGATGCTTCACTCTATGACTTGAATGCAATGGAAAGAGTTAGGTTAGAGTTAAGTAGAGTTACAGAAGGTAATTGCACAAGTGATGAATACAAAAAATACAACAATGAATAAATCAGGATCAATACGTACAAAAAATACATGAAAGAAAACCTCCTATTCGCCTCCTCCACTACAGTCTAATGAAGATGAAAGTACTGTGTTTTAGTCTGGTGCTGGTTCAAGAGTCATGAAATCATCAAACAGTTGGAAATATTTATTTTATTTAATGATTTTGAAAATTATTTTTGCAGTCAGTATGCCTGGAGGCTTTGTACTTCAAGGTCTGGGCTGAATGAAAAGGCAGAGAATAACACATGACACGATGACAGACAGACAGCCCAGTCAGTTGAGAGAAGTTAGCAGGTCAGCGAGAGGCTCAGCGGAGACCTTCACTCCGCTGCTGTGCCTCTAACGGGCGCCGGCCGTGTGTCACTGTGAGGATGTGGGCGGTAATTACAGCTGTGCAGGAGGGGAAGATGTTCTCCGGCAGAGATGAAAACGCACAACCACACACACAGACACAAACAGTGCCCATGCCCCCGTTCCATACACTGATAATGAGCATCTAATGAGCAGTGATGTCATTACAACAAACACACAGCTGTCTGCTACCAACTCGCTTTTCCCTTATCAGTGCACAACTGCTTGCAGCTTAATTAGGCTGCAGATAGTTGATGCTCTGTTTTTCTAAGGCACAATTTATATACTAAATTATAATAATAATATAATAATCCTGGCAGCATCGTAAAATGTAAAGTGATAAGGCTAATATATGTTGGATAAACCTGAACTAATTGTTATGACTTGGACCTCATATTTAATAGAGGATAAAAATAAAAAATAAAGTCTTCAAGGTGCAGCTGAATTTCAACAGACGTTCCCAAAAGGTTACACTTACAGACCGCCCCTCTGCTGAACGGGCTGTCACACTCCTGCCTTTTAAATGTGGTGGTGGGGTCTGAGCACAAGGTCTTTTATAAATTCTTGTGTGTTGTCAGGAGGAGATGGCCCAGATACACAGAGTTAACATGAACAGAGTGATGGGGACTTTAAATCCTAAACAGAATAGACTCATTAGAGCTCGTTTCTCATGTTACACCCTGTGTGGAAGCAAATATCAATAACTAACCACATTCCGACAACTAAAGCAAAAGTATAAAAATACTGCCTGCTCCATAAATGGAAAAAAGAGTATTTTACTCAGTTTATTGAACAAAATATCTTACAGTATCTTGGATATACATATATACATATTATTTTGTACTGTGTAACACGGTTGGTGAACCCCTGCAGTGACATTGATTGTAGCTGTGCCTCCAAACTTCAATGGATGTTTCAAGGAAATATTAATACATCATTGACTTCCAAACACATTATACAAATCTTAATATAGAAAGCACAAAAAATAAGAATTTTTCAGTGAAAAGTACTCACTCTCAGGACAGAAAGGTTCTTCATACAAAAACAACTTTAACATTTTCTTTTTCTTTTTTTTTTCTTCTTTTTTTGCAGTTACAGTATGCAGGTAATAAATATACCTGGAATTCCCTCCGTTTATGTCACATGGTGTCGGTCACTTTTCCTCTGCACGGAAATCACCAATAAGGACTTATTCTAGAACAAATAAAGAAGTGGCTCGGCCACCGGAGCTTCTGCTGCTGCTGCACATTATCTGCACGCCTCTCAGATAACATACACATCAGTCTTCTCCCCAAGAAGCCAGTACGTTCTCATTTTGCCTTTGCCCTGCAAAAAAAAACACAGAAATCAATAGGCTCATCAATGGAGATGAAGTGGGGGTGGGTGGCAGGTGGGGGCGACATCCTCTATTAGGTTGCCCTTCTTTAAGGGTGACCCTGATGGTTACTGCTGCTCAGCTTACACCTCCACCTTTCTCCACAGATGAAGCTTCATACATGAGCAGAGCAGAATTAACCATATCATACTTGAGAATGTTAACAGCTTATCACTGTTGTCAAGGGAAAATCGTGTATCTCTGTTGAATGCTAAAACGGTCCTTTAAGTGATTAGATATCACGTGTGTAATGTCTGTAATAGTAGAACATGACACTCCAAATACACAGAAACCATACTGAGGACATAACCTGTGTCCTCAGTGGTAGCCACAGATAATCGGACTGCAACTAATGATTATTTTCATCACTGATCAGTCTGAGGAATATTATTTTAATGAATCGATTAATAGTTTAGTCTGTATAAGTAGCATATGATCCCATAACCCCTCCCCCAGACGGCCGCCCACCCCGAGTCTGGTTCTGTTGGAGGTTTCTTCCTGTTAAAGGGAGTTTTTGCTCCCCGTTGTTGCAAGTGCCTTAAGATAATATATGTTATGATTTGGCACAATACAAAAAAAATTGAATTGAATTGAAAGATAAGCTTTTATTTGATGTAGTACCAATAGAAATCAACTTGTTGAAGGAATGTTTTAAAATCATATATAATTCTCTCTGGTGCCTAATTCTGAAATTTCTGAACAACACAACAATAATTAAATTATTTTCTGCCATCAAATCTGAATCTGAATGACTTGTTCATACTGATGTTTTTTGTAGTGTGACGAAACGTGAGCTTTGGTTTGCATAATAGCATTTATTTTGAAACAGCAAAGGAACAGTTCTCACCTTCATTTCCACATCTCCTCGTAACTGGAGGTCGAAGTATCCAAACTCATCCAGAACTTCTTTGGTGGCTGATGATACGTGGATTTTCAAGGCTGCAAAACACATGAAGAGCACGTCAATGACACATGACAACTCTAACAGTATTTGATTTTTACCACCACACCGCCTCTATCTCAGGCCTCAGGACAGAAAGCAGGTGAGGAAACTGAGGAGTGAGACGAGCTGATGTGTTCGCTCCCGACAGACGCCAACAGCTGAAATGCAAACGGTGATGAAAATCTGTATTGTTTTGTCCAATTAATGCACACAGTGCAGAGATATGAGATGTGATTCCTGCCTGTGAAGCTTCAGGCTGCACAGTTTATCGCTGGCTAAGGGCCCTTAGCTGTAAGTGCTATCAATTATTTACCAGTGGAGGCACAATACAGGAAGCGACTCAGTAGTTAATCAATACATCTGATGATCCATTCGCAAAATATCCAACCACAGTTTCATAACACTAGTTCCTGTCACTGCCAGTTAAGAACAGACACGCCAGTGTAGAAAGTATTAGACTCAGCAGCTCAATACGTCTTATATTCAGCTTAGAAACCATGTTTCATCCAACCACAGCAGCAGATACTCGTTTATGGTTACCTCAACATAAGGAGAATAAAATGATGATTTGCTGTTCATTTCGACCCTCATTAGTTGTTACCTTGCCAACAACTAATCTTCTCCCTTAAAGGTCTCATATAGTATAAAGGGAGATGATTATAAAGCAGGTCTAGGTTCTATATTAATACTGTGAAAGTATCAAAGCGCTCAGTCCACAGGGAAATGCACACAGCCTGTATTCAGATACTGAGCCTTAAAACCAGCTGTCGGAACTTCTGGAATTTTGTGATGTCACAACAAAGCAGGCACCGCTCTCAGCTACGCCCTAAGCCCCGCCCACCTGGCCCCCCATCCAACCTGGCAGGATTTGGTTTCTCTGTGTGTCTACCTGAAATCTGCTATATTTTTATTGGATCACTTAGAAAACAGTCAGCCAATCAGAGGAGAGGATCAGAGCCTCCTCTCTAATGATTGGCTCACTGTTTGTTACCAGAGCTCCAGAGAGAAGCCTGAGAGAGGAGATGTAAAACTACATTGAGATGGTTTTTGGTTCTTAAAACCATAAATATATCTTCTTTTGGATCAACACTTCAAATAAAACACAAATTAACAAAATACAGTTTAAATTGCACCAGAACTAAACACATGAGCAGTAAAACAGGTGCTCACTGTGTATAGGCTGATATTTCTTAGCTGTAAACAGTTCCCAACAAATGCACTGTTTACTCCTGTTTGAGAACTGTTTGCGTGCAGAGCCCTGCTGTTTTAGAAAATGACTGAGCTTATTTAAAAAAAAAAAAATAAAAAAATGAAACTATATACTTGTGAACTTGTTTTTATAGATTTCCATCTTTAGAGGGAACCAATGTGCTCGGGGCTGTGAGCCACAGACAGAGAGGGGAAGTCAGAAAGAGAGGCAGGAAAAAACTCTTTAGTTACTTCAAGTTTAAACCCTGTAAACCAAGTTAGAAATGTCTCACACATGGCAGAAGTTAATATGAACCATTGTGTAAATTTTCTTTTGGTACAAGCCCTATAATAGTCAGTGTTTTTATGTAGCCAAAGAAACAGTCTTAGGAGACTTTACACTTTGTGAA